AACACCAAACTGAATGCTTAGGGGGTAAAATGAAAAGTCGCACTCTAATCCCGGGTATGACCACCAGCAGAGTTGATACAGGCAACACACCTCTGTCGCATGGAATTAATCGGCCGTGTATGACATCGTTGTGGGATGTTGTCCCAGATCTCACAGTTGTTACAGTTGCTGCAGCGTTACAGGTGGATTTGGCGAGCGTCGCAAGCGTCTTTCCATTTCAATAGGCGACATGTCCAGTGACTTAGCTGGCCAGGGAAGCACATCAACATTGTTCTGAGCCAGAAAACGTTGAACAATACGGGCAGTGTGCGGCCATTGCGTTGTCCTGCTGTAGCGTCATCCCTGGTAACGGTAAAACGGTTTGCTGGAGAACCTCATCTCGATATCGCTGCCCTGTCAAATTATCAGCGCTGATGAGTACTGTCTTTTGTGTAACCGTAAATACAGCCCAGACCATCACGCTACCGCCTCCAAACCGATCAATTTCCATGACACAATTATTGTCAGCATAACGATCGCTACGTAAACTCGCACACGGCCATCAGCTCAGTGAAGCGAAAATCTGGACTCATCCGTGAAGAGGACATGATTCCACTGACGTTGAGTCCATTTCACAGCCTTGCCCACTGTAGACGTCGTTGGCGATGTTGTAACGTCAAAATCGACCGTCTTGATGGACGTCGTGCGATGATCCCAAAACGCCGTAAACGTCGACAAACGGTTTGTGGTGATATCCGCCTCAGTCCAGGGATGGTTGCTGCCGTGACTGTTGCTGGCTGGAAGCGGTTCCGGAGGTGTGTCTGTCGAATCCAGTTGTCTTGACGTCGGGTCGTTACCGGGGTCGATGAGGATTTGTATACAAAAGTTAGTATTGATATAAATATATCCGTGTCACAAGAACATTTGTTGCTGAGTTTAGTATTATCCTATGTGAGTTAGAGAATGTTGTTGGCAGTCAATCTAACGTACAAATCACAGTTGGCAGTGTACTCGGTATGGACGGTATGAGGACCTACATCACAACACCGTCATGGCTGTACAACAATGGTTGACTATTTGTGTTGACAGCAGAAGCAATTTGATTGTACGGGAGGGTTAGTTAGTGAGTGAGTAAGTTTTACGCCGATTTTAGCAATATTCCAGCAATAACACGGCGGGGGACACCAAAATAGGTTCACACATTGTACTCATGTGGGGAATCGAACCTGGGTCTTTGGTGTGACGATGTCTACGATGCAGTCTTATTGTGCATATGTTTAGTTTCCTAGGCAGCACACAGCCACAAATGGTATATAGTACCTGGCCCCCCAGGGATGTTATTCAACTACCTGTACGAATAGGCGCACTTCCATTCTCATTAACCACCACCACCCCCCCAATAACACACTTATTTCACATCTTGTTAAGACATGTCCACCATGAAAAGTAACTACATTGTTATAATTATATTATTCCTTCCTTTTTGAAAATATAACAAAAATATAAATTTTCCATGATAACGTTGATTATAAGATGACGGCAGAACAGTATGATGAACGACCATGACCTTGACGTTACAAGTCCAAATACGAGCAGGGGTCAAGCATAAACAATCACTAACTGGATTTTCGATCAGAGAATCGCTACTGCTCGCGTTTAAGGGGCAGAAACATCTCACAAAATTTAGAAATTACTTTCAACCAATAAAAACACAAGCCATTGGTGGATTTCTCTTCGAGTTGCTGTGGCCGGGAGTGTGTGGTGTTCTGCAGCGTCCTAAACACTACCAGCAGACTGAGGCTGGACTGTGTGGTGGACATCTATCTGACCATCAGAGAGCAGCAATGTGACAGCCCACAGTTCATAATTTTCTACGTGCAGCATGAATCTGTTGACGGCGCACGGGTGGCCCAGTGGACTTAGGCATCTTCGGCGTTACAGGATCCGCTAATCTAACTCGCTAGTCCACAATTCCATTAGTTGTTGAGGGACTGATGCTCTTGGCTAATAAAATCAGTCACTTAGTTAAATGTGATTTGTGTTTTGTTTTGGCTTTGTTCCTCTTTGTAATCTTCATCCTCTCTTCTGTTTTCTGAGTAACATGTCCGTGTTCATCAGCGCAACAATGATAAACATCCGAATCCACAAGACGTCAATTGCGCTTTTTATGTCCTTGTTTTAAGCGACAAGAAGTCTGAAATATACTGTCAGTGAGTGAAACTATAATCAAAGACTCCTGGAGCGGAAAATTCTATATTCAATATTTTATACATGTCATCTTATTGGTGTTAATGTCAAGACACGAACTGGACGTTAATGGTATTGAAATCGTGTGGTTACTGGTCTTAATACACGACTTCGTCAGTTGATAATTTTGTGAGGCCTCCTCCTTGTTGAGAAGTAGAGACCTCACTTTAAGATGGGGAATTGTGTTGTTGGGGAACCTTGAAGAGAGAAGGAAACCGTGAGCACAGAATTGTGACGTGATCCGTTTATTTCTGGAGTGCAAGTGATCGTTACAGAACAATCAATAAGATTGTATAATAACATAATATTTATAAGAATTCATATACCGTGCAATATATAAAATAAATGAAACGGAAGTTCGATAATTCGAAGATATTCATAAACAGTAAGTAATATTAAACATTCCATATTTAGAATCATTGCGGTAATGGCTTAACAACCTTTTTACAGTAAGTATGGTGTCACATGTTTTCTTATTCACAATAAACTCATACAATGAAACACATGTGACATCAAGACAATTATACATGAGTACAAGTTAATGATACACAATGTAGACAAAAGGGGCTCCTGGTGGATAGAGATTACGAGTGTGGCCGGAGGCTACTAAAGCAATGATCCACGAAATATCTCAATTAACTCCAGGTTCACAAATGTAAAAGGTAGTTTGCGTGATACGCTGCACCTAGCCTATAGTTTAACATTGTCCATTAATGACTTGATAATTAAATCAAACAACACATTACACAATATACATTACAATATGAACTCTACAAATCTGACACATTACATTTATCGTGAAGGGTGGTAATCATTTAGATGCGTCGCTTGTAATGAAGGGAGACAACGTCATGTCTTAACATACAAGTCGCAAAGGGCGATACAATGATTGCTTTTATGAAATACTATTTGTCATAGAAATTCTATATTGCAGTTTACAATATAGTTTAACGTAATTGACCTAAACATTGCATACAAGTCTGGGAATACACCTTGTACACATTGTTTAAAGTAACGCTTATATTACATTATAATAAAATCACTAATTACAATAATACACCAGTATTGCATATAACAAAACAACATGTATACATCACTAAGAATTACTGAGCTGCTTACCTTGAAGAGAGAAGGAAACCGTGAGCACAGAATTGTGACGTGATCCGTTTATTTCTGGAGTGCAAGTGATGGTTAGGACCTACACCTGCCTTCCATACATACCCCTTAACCCGGAACACAGTGATTTGTCATCTCGTGCCACGCACACAGTTTCCATTCAAGATGACCAGCTCGCATGTCAAACATAAACCATCTTTGTTTTAACTGCCTGTGTCCATCGTACAGACAGCTATGACCGGAGGGAAGAGTTACCTGTGCACAATAGCCCCATTGACTTTTTACATTATATTGCACCGCAATGCAGGCATAGATTTTCTGTGCAGTGACATGTTTGCCTAAAGCGATCACTGCGTATAATAAACCAAATGTATTGAGGGAGCATATGTTTGTACCCAAAAGAATTTAATATTATATCTATACGATCGCAAACCAAATATTTACAATAAAGCTAAATTAATCAATTATATTTTATATATATTTGCTTAATGTTTAGCACGATAACAGTATGACCGTAAAATTGATGACGTCATTTGGCTGTGTGCCTGTTTGGTATTCCAGATGCAGCACTTGGCATTTGCAAAACAACACTAGCTGTTATGGTGAAAATGCTGCCCGTCGCCTTGAAGCAGGAAGTAGGTCCGTAGTAGGGTGTGATGAAGTGAATCCTATTTCTCATGTTCTGCTGGTTATCATGTCGCGAGGCCATACATCTGAAACATCATCTACGCCAACATGTGACGTAATCTGACACCAAGATGGCGCTGTATCGGACCGGCTATTCCATGTGGTATAATATCACATTTGATCATAATCACAACTGTCACCAGAAAGTGAGTGAGTGAGTGAATTTAGTTTTACGCCACACTCAGCAATATTCCTGCTATATGACGGCGGTCTGTAAATAGTCGAGCCTGGATTAGATAATCCAGTGATAAACAGCATGAGCATCTACACAATTGGGATACGATGGCATGTGTCAACCAAGTCAGTGAGCCTGACCAGTCAATCCCGTTAGTCGCTTCTTACGACATGCGTGGGTCACTGAAGACCAATTCCAACTCGGATCTTCATGGGTCTAAAGCGCAAGTAAACATAAACTAATGAGTGGGAGGAAATCACTACTTGATGATCTTCTTAGAAGTTTATACCATTGATTTAAACCCAAGCTACTGAGAAACCGGACATTCTCAAGGATTCGAACCCACGATAAATGGCTTTTGACACCTCACTTCGCGAATAATGATGAATGAGACCCCAGCCCCTCACCAATCTAAAATAGTATCAAATATATGATTTATTGTTGAGAACAAGTGAATTTCATGTGTATGTTTAGGGAAAACCCAAACCGACACAAACGGTTAAATTCACCTATTGGGGAACCCCACAAGAAACGATTTGGAGCGAACAAATCAATGGGTTCTTATCGGGATTTAGAATTAGAGACATGAGATAAGATTTTTGTAAGTTGAATAATCCGTGATTTTTTTTGTAAATATATACATGTGTTTGTACTTCCTAATCAATCTTGACCAACAAGCACTAACGAAAGTAGATATATACACTACTACTTCACGTTGTATAACTCTGGGTTGCATACTAACCAATCAAAGTAGCTGTCACAAATGGGCTTGACTCCCTGTATATACAGTGTGGTTTTCACTTCCTTGTGTACATGCTGTTTGTTGACGGACAATACAGCCGTGAGGTTCATTGCTGTCGCTGGGTAAGTAATGAAGATTACGTTGCTCTTTGTTTCCTCGATGTTTCAATATGCATCTGTGATGGTTGTCGACAACGTGTAACTTGGGGTTGGATGAAACAAACACACCAATATCAGATACACAGCAGTGTCTGTCGACATTGAACAAGTAAAATCATGGAAAAAATATCTTTGAACACGAACTAGCTAAACGACTTGTTCTTAAGATTTAACTACAGTGGACTCCCTCTAAACCGACATCCCTGTAAACCGGCATATTTATTTGTCCCGAATTTGTCCCTATATAATATAATATTAAAAACTCCCTCTAATCTGTCATCCCTCTATTCCGAATTCCGACACTCAAATCTGGTCCGAAAATATGTTTTAGTGCAAATTGACGCTCTCTAACCCGACATTGTAATTTCACATGATGTGTAATGAGCAGTCAACATGCTTAGGCGAGAGGTGGCAGTTAAATAAATATTACGGAAGTATTGGTAGGTTCGGTGATAAAAGTATCGTTTAATTACGCGACAGTTTTCCACTGGCACATGCTCGTGATATAGACGGAATCAAACATCTCACTCATATTTTAGCGGAGAATTCTTAAGAATATGTGAAGGTTTTTGTCGATATATTCGCTTGTATTCATGTTGTAGGTGGTAATACGGTATTAACGGTCATGTTTTTATATTTTATTAACTTCAGTGTACAAATTTTCATCTCATGTGTGACTCATTGACGTCCCAGTTAAAGATGCCTTTCTGTGGCTGTTGAAGCCATATTTCAGAGGCCTCTCATCTACTGTGTTTTGAGGTTTGATGTTGTCGAACTGTAGATGATGTAGGTTTTTAAGTTATGTTTGTTAGGTCTTTAACATTGTATTGAACATGATAATATGCCTAAATAAGAGGTATTTAATCTACTGCTCTCTTATATCACGTACAAGGGGCTATCAAAATGTTTTGAGCCTAAAATACTTCTGACATGTGCATGATAAAAATAAATGTATAATATTGAAGAATGGTTAATATCATTCACATAAACGTAATACTGACATGCACATATCGCTAGTTTCCGGTCTATTCTAGCTAGTTTCAAAATCTGGTAAATCCCCAGGTATTGATGGAACACCACCCGAATTCTTCAAACATGCTCGATGCATACTTCCCTGCCTAGAAATATTGTTTAATGCTATACTGGACAGCGGCATTTTTTCTGATATCTGGAATGTTGGCTTGATCATTCCACTCTATAAAAAAGGAAGCACTCATGAACCAAATAACTATCGTGGAATCTCTTTGTTGAATGTAATGGGGAAAATATTCACTTCAGAATCCGTATCTGGTTAGATTTAAACGATATATTACATGAATGCCAAGCAGGGTTTAGGCCCGATTACTCATCAGCTGATTATATTTTCGTTCTGCAAGCTCTATGCCAAAAGTATTTAAGAAAACGTAAACATCGGTTTTACGCAGCTTTCATTGACTTTCGGAAGGCCTTTGATTATATAGACAGAAACAAGCTTTTATATGCTCTTATCTCCAAAGGTATACATGGGAAAATAATACGAATCCTCAAAAACGTGTATGATAAGGTATCTGCTTGTGTGAAAATATCTACTGTACGAACAGAAGTATTCTCGACAACATCTGGACTACGACAAGGATGTATTCTCAGTCCTGTTCTGTTCATTTTCTTTATCAACGAATTAGTAGATGAAATGAATGCATGTGGCCTACGTGGAATATTTGTGAAAAATGGTATGAATGATATACTTTTATTGTTATTCGCAGATGACGTCACTCTCATTGATGACACAGTAATAGGTTTACAAAAACCTGGATACATTAAAATCATTTTGTATCAAATGGGGTCTAGAAGTTAACTTAGATAAATCCTGCATTATTATTTTCAGGAATGGTGGCTATCTTTGAAATAACGAAAAATGGCTTTATGATGGTACAAACATGAAGGTTTTATCTCATTATAAATATCTTGGCATTGTTTTCACATCAAAATTGTACTGGTCTAAAGCATGTGAAACATTAGTCTTACAAGACAGGAAGGCTTAATTTCCGATATTTTCTCTTTTCAGAACTTATCAAAATATCTCTTTGAATGTGGCATCTACTATATTTGATAGCAAAATTGCACCGATTCTGCTTTATGGTGCAGAAATATGGGGTTTTACCTATTGTGCAAACATTGAAAAAATACAAAGTTATTATTTCAAAAGATATCTTCGTGTTAGCAAAACTGTATCTTCAAATATTGTACTCGGTGAAACAGGTAGAAGCCATCTTTGTGTACAGTATTTCACCCGTTGTATAAAGTACTGGTGTAGACTCCTGAATATGGAAAGTTATCGTATTCCAAAGGCATGCTATGAAATGTTAAAAACATACGACGACAATGGTGGTCACAATTGGGTATCCCATGTACGTTCGCAAGATTGTGGCGATGTAACAAGTTTTATAAGCGTTTTTAAACAGAGATGTAAAGATATAGATATACAGAATTGGTATGCAAAAATCACTTCTTCGTCATTCTTCAATCATTACTCGTCATATAAATCTGTACTTGAACCGGAAAAATATATATCAGAGTTTTGCTATGATAAAGATCTCTTACGAGTTTTATTTAAATTCAGATGCATGAGACATAAACTTAAAATTCAACACAACCGTTTTAATAAGGTAAATGCTGATTCCATTAAATGTGATAAATGTAATTGTAATTTGATACAAGATGAGTATCATTTCTTACTCGTATGTCCATTTTATTCACAACAACGCTCTTTGTAGATTCCTGATTTTTATATTATATTTCCAACCAGATAAAGTTTACTCAGCTGCTTGCAACAAAGAATGTAAAACACCTAAAAATATTGCAATTTTTTATCTTAAACTATATTTATCTGTATAAATTGTAAATTGTTCGCCTGACCATGTACTATATTTTGCTTATTGAATTGTACTTTTGGTCATGTGGCCATAAATACTGAATAAAGCTCTTCTTCTTCTTCTTCTTCTTCTTAATCACATGTACCCCTATTGAAACGGCAGAAATAGATAAGCTTGAGTACAGAGCAGTTATAAAATGTTGGGTCCTCCAGTGCCACCCGGCGAGGCACATTGAAGAACGATTGACAGCAGTAAGAGTACCCCATGGGACTCGGTACTCGTACGACTGACAGCGCAGTTATAATGATAAGCAATTCATCAATGCAGTGGATATTCCTGAAAGGTTCTGGTAAACATTGAAAGCCTCACTGGTGTTATTTAATCGTTGACGAATATAAACTAATACTTTCACCTACCTTTAACCAAGACAAATCTAATCCTCAATCCCCACAGAGTACGAATCCTTGTAACGACTACAGGATTTGCACGGGTGTTTTGAAAAAGTGATTTTTGAACAAATACGTGATTTGTGTGTTTAGAAATTGCACATGCACAAACGGTATAAAAACTGTCCAGTTCACATGTTAGAGATGCAGTCTTATGAAAGACCACAGACGAAATGCCCAGGTTTACACAAGAACAGCGTGAGAGGGCCATATGAATGCTGCAAATAGGGGCACCACAAACCCATGTTGCAAGAACATTGAACTGCTCCCGTAATACAGTAGACAACTTGGTACAGTGATTCGGAATAACAGGTCGGGCAACAGACAGGCCAAGGACAGGCAGACCAAGGGTCACCGCACCCCTGAAGATCGCTACCTACGCAACTTGCATCTGCGTGACAGATTCTTGCCTTATAGAACAAACTTTATGGATAACAACTTCTTTTTATTCGTGAGTGCGACGTTTCGTTACAGATTCTTGTACCGTTGTCAAGCATAATGGAACATCAAACGCACATCCACATCAAACGGCAAAAGCCCACCATCAACCGAGACCAAGGATACTTCATTCCATCCGCTTATGATGCACTCATCCACCAAGCCCAATCTACTGTATAAACCCTGCTGTATAAACATCTCATTATTATTTGTACATGATTGGCTTCCACGCCTGTCCTTTGTCTACTCTCTGGCTTCATCAGCTTTTTGCCTAGCCAATTATGTTAATTATGTTGTTTTCTTTGTTACATTGTTACATCCAGTATATATACACTTCCCCCTTCTTCATGTTTCCTTATGCTTGACAAAGGTACAAGAATCTGTATCGAAACGTCGCACTCACGAATAAAAAGAAGTTGTTATCATAAAGTTTGTTCTATATTGTACTTCCCAACTTCTAAAATGCCACTCAAAGCAGTTAGATTCTTGCCTGTGACGTCATCGAATGCGTTGGGCCGTATGGTCAGCAGACAGAGTGTAGCAAGACGACTAAGGGCAGCCGGTATCAGAGCCTACAGACCCTTCCGAGGCCCGCTGTTGACCAATGAATATCGTCGTCGGAGACTGAGATGTGCTCGAGAACAGTGCTCGGTGTTGTCAACGCCATGATTGGCAGCGCGTCCTAGCACAGACGAGAGCAAGTTCTGCATTTTTACGTTCTGAAGAGGAGAACGTACTCCACGTTGTTGCCTACAAGAGGTCGTACCCTTTGGGGGTAGGAGCGCAATGGTGTGGGGTAGGCATTTGTGATGACGAGAGGACACCATTGGTCATTGATGGTAACTTGAATGCCGTACGCTTCAGAGATGAGGTCCTACGCCCTGTTGTGATTCCATTCCTTCATCAACAGGGTACCATGTGCCCGTAAATTTGACGGCGACAACAACCTCGAAACACAGGGGATGAACTCATTTCGGCCCTCCATGAAGAATGGCGACGCATCACACGTGACGTCATCAGGCAACTCGCGAATTCGGCGCGTAGCAGATTGTTTGCCTGCATTCAAGTCAATGGAGGTCACACACGCTACTAGGGTGACACATAATACCACCTATGGTCATGTTGTGCCGAGCTGACCATTTGGACACGTATTAAAAACCGTTTTGTACCACACATGGACATTAACAGCCATATCTAATTTATTGTCCATTGTATTGCTCTTGTTTGA